ACACCAGAATTTACGAGGTTCGGCTAATTTTGCCTACTCCTCAAACACAACCAATATTTTATTCTACTCCAAAATACAAGTGAAATAATACTAAAGAGAGAAGATACAAAAGCCTTAAACAGATGAGAAGGCAAATGAGAGGTGTATTTAAATCCTAAACATTAGGCCTTCTTTTATAGGGGGAAAATCCCCCCAAAACTCAAGAGCCCACCGATGTGGGACAAAATTTTGCCAAATTCAACAACAACTACCAGAAAACTGCGAACAAGCAAACACACACGTGTACACACATGTTTAACATAAGAGGACGGGGAGGCGGGAGGGATTGAGGAACTGTGGGAGGAAGAATAATTGGAAAACGGAAAGGAAGAACAAAAAAACAGGGAGAAACAGACGGAAACTGGGGGTGGGAATGGAACAGGAAAAAGGGGAAACGAACAAAGAGAAGGGAAATGGAAGCCAAATGAGAATGAGGTAAGGGCAGAGAAGTGTCGATTGTAGGCAATGAAGGGGCAGACTATGAGGACGTTGATAAATATGTTAAACAAGAAAAAAGACGTTTTATGTCTCCATTACAACACCAAGAATCAGTTATAATTGGAGAACATGTCAAGTTTGAATATAAAACAGAATGGTGTTAACACATTTACTTCAAATAGGATTTCAGTGGCACAAATCTTGAAATCATGACAAACGGAAATCTTACCTGCAGTTTTGTGGAACTCGCCATGATACTGCCGACAATATCTTCTGTGCTGGTGGCAATGACAAGAAGCTTTTCCAGTCCTGAAGCAGGATTCTTAGATCATGAAGTTTGCTTTCCAGTCCAAAACAGCAATTAGCATGCATTGTACAAACTTCGCTCAAATTTTTGCTAGGTTCACAAAATCCACCAAAGTATGCAGTGTCCAAGAATCTCATTTTGAGACCAATGTCCCTAATGAAGGAATCGTTCTTGATATTGTTAAGAACATCTTGATCATGCAAACTTGGATACATTTCTTGTGACGAATACCAGAACTTGTAAAATTCAATTGATCTGTTATTCGACCTCACATGATTGAAACCACCATTAGGTCTATTCCCCACATCATCAGGTTTGCCTGAGAAATGATCACATGCTATCTGAAAGTCTGCATCCTTGTAAAAGTGAGGAAAGGGATCTCTGAACCACATGACATCAGCATCCTAGCAGATGGAACCAAATAAAGTGTTAATTATGGAACATGTTTGCCAGCTAGAGAGACAATGTAATACATTTTACCAAGCTACGTGGCATCAGAAATTGTTCAATATATTGAAGTCCTGATATGCAGAATTATTCAAGTGCAAAAAGTGATCCTTCAACAAAACATTACCAATATTAATGCAAAAAGGTGAGCTGCATATACAGTGTATATCAAGTGGTATGTACAGCAGAATTCATGACACTGCTCTTCCAAATTTGGTTAACCAGAACAAGAGATGATCCAAAAGAACTAAAAAGGAAAGTGTAACCAGACAATATGAACTTAACATAAATACTACATCAGTATATACACATCCGCTTATAAATTCCGTAGGCATGCTTGACTCATCAGTATTTCGATTCATACTTTAGCATAATTCTCATGTGCTATATCTTGCTTCGGGAGAACAATGAGACCTTAAAAAAACTCTATCCACAGTCCCTAACAATCTAAAACATCTAGGATACTGGTCTCAGTTAATTGTGTAATAAGGAAGAACGATTTATAAGGAGAACTCACAAAAACCTCGAATCTTATCAGATCAAGTTCCCAATAAGACTACATGTTCACCTTTCATCACACTCTCATTAAAGATATTATTTATAACCATGTCTACTTTTTCTCAATATTTCATCGGAAAAACATCTCAAAGTGGTAAAGGAACTTTTTCTTTCCAGTTCTATAACTAGGCTGTTTTAAAATAAGAAAAAGAAAGAACCTTATAATGTCTGGAAATGAAATCCATTGGAATATTAACTAAAATTTGGTCAGGAAGTGATTCCAGCTTAAGTTTATTCACATAACTTATTATAACAGACCATGTATTTATGCCAGGTTACTCCAAAATTACAGAGCAAGATACAAACTGTTTCCTTGAACAGGTCTTTTTGGATATACGACATGCCCAAGTACTCCCTAAATAGATGTTCACTTTTACTTGGCACTTTACGCATATCAAGAGAAGACAACAAATTTTTTCCTGTTTTACCCATAGTATTTATTACTCATTTCAAATCATTTTCTCAAATCCAATAAAATATGCATCAATTAATATGGGTATCATGGTAAATTATACACTTCATTTATTATTTCTTAAGGGACGTGAAAAGTCAAAAGGTGCCAAGTAAAAGTGACCGGAGGGAGTATAAAGGTAAATCAGACAATCAAACCAATCCAAATAAGACAAATCAAGTATTTCTGGAAACCTTAATTTTCCTGTCTTGCTTCGTTACAAAGAAACAAGTTCCTCAATTTGAGACAATCAAGATCATGCTAGACAACCAAAATTTTAATGATGATAAATGAATTGAAATTTTTGCTAGCTTAGTACAAAACTAAAAAAAAAAAAAAAAAAAGGAAATTAAGATGAGCATTAAAAAGTGTACCGTGAAGACAAAGTTGTATCCCATTTCAAGCACCACTCTTAAAAAGTCTATCCTTCTCCACATCATCTTCAAGTAGTCAGGGAACATGAAATAAGCTTCCTTTGAAAAATCAACCCCTTCAGTCACTAGTGCATAGCAATGAATATGTAAAGACAAACATCTAGTGAATGCCTTCTCATCAAGTGCGATAATGACTAAATGATTCAAAAGCCTACGGGTGTGATCTCCGATCCTAAAACTTTCAAGAAATAGATCAACAACTGAATTCGGAACAGCCCACGCTTCATTCAAAGTCGTTAAGATCACTGTTTTATCCTCCATAGCTGCATTCTTCAATACTTTCTCAAGCCTGTACTCCTCACTATCCTACACAAGAATGCGATTTTAAGCAATACGAAATGTCAAATTGTCCTGAATAAATATCATATTTCTTCATTGGTTTCTTCTTTATTTATAGATTTCGACTAGCACTAATGTTTTTCCTCAGTACATGTGAGAGCATCACAAGATATTAATTCTAATTGGTCCAAGCCCTCGAATCTGTTGAATTCTCTCTATGCAAACAAATAAAATTCGTCTTAAGACGTGGATCATATATTGAATGTAGCACTTAAAAATAAACCAAAATACAAATCAGGCAAACACTTAATTTTCTCAAAAGCCAACCAATCAATCAATTCTAATTAATCAGCTCTATGTCTCAAATTCGGTCATTTCATTCCAATTATGCCTATGTAAGGTTCGCCAACTATAGTCGATCACAATTCTGGCAAAGGAAAAGGATTGCAACAGATAAATAGCGAGTAAAAATAATTTAATTTAACTCGGGGATCACGGTTGGCGATATGACCAGTACACTAAACATAAGACAAAAGAATCAATGTTGTAGAAACTTGAATTGTCCTTATTTTGATTAAAAATGTTTCGGTAAAGGAAGAAAGAAAATAAAAGGGAAAAGAGGAGAGTGATCCTAACCGAGGAAGCGGAGACATTAGGGGTTACACGTGAGGTGATGAAGGAGTCAGGGATGCGGAAGCCAACATTTTCACCGGCTCTATAAAGGACGAAACAAGAGAAAGAAGCGGCAGCTAGGACAAGCGCTACCGTAGCGATGCGACGAGCAACCAAACTGGAATTCGCAGCAGCAGCTGTAGTAGTAATTGTCTTCGACGGCAAAAAATCAGTTAACATCTCCGTCAATAAATGCGGTGTCTGTCGGTGACAATGGTGGCAGTGAAATGGGGAAATTAAGGAGCGTTTCGGAAATGGGATATGAACAGAAGGAATTGGGAGGAGAAGCGGTTGGAGACGTATTTGTAGGAGTTGTGATTGTTCAAGAGAGAGAGACTGAGATTTTGTGAATTTGAAGAGAAGCTGGTAGTAATGTTTAATTTAAATTAATGGATTTGGCTACCCACTTTCATCCCCCGCTCTTTCCCGAAACAGACGGAGACCGAGTAGTAACGAGCTGGATTTTTTTATTTTATTTTAAAAATAAACTATTTGGTTTAATTTTTATATATTATTGCAGAATTTTCACATTATAAAGATAAAGGTTTTTTTTGTTTTTGTTTTTCATACGGTGTTAGGTATATTGGGAAGTAAAATGCTCCCTAACAAAGACGACTTCATACAGAGCTCGAACCGAAGACCTTTGATTAAACTTACTACTCCATCATAACCCTTATATAAAGGTTCAAGAGGATCGGATTTTTTTAAATCGGATGACTTGAAGGGACCAAGAAAGACGGATTACATTAAAAATCTATTGTAATATTATTTTCATAATTTAAACATGTGACCTCAAAGGTCACACACGATAATTCTTACGGTTGTGTCACGATCCGGAATTTTCATCTTCGAAATCCTGATGGCGCCTAACATTTCACTTGTTAGGCAAGACAATGTTAGAGTAATTCTTTACCAGTTTTAACCACGTTGAACAATTTAACCAATTAAACATAAATGAAGTTCATAATAAAGTACGAAATAGCATAATAAACCAATATCGAATACAACTCGGATCTGGAGTCACAAGTACACGAGCTTCTAGAGTTTCTACAAATAGGGTTTGAAATAAGTACAACTGTCTTGAACGAAAAGAACAGTAAATAGGGGAAAAGTGGAAGGAGACTTCAAGGTCTGCGGACGCCAGCAGATCTACCTCGAGTCCCCAAAAGCTAATACGAGCTGATACGCCTCACGGACAGATGAGACCAGTACTAAAATCTACACAAGAAGTGCAGACTATAGTATGAGCACAACCGATTCAATGTACTTCGTAAGTGCCGAGCCTAACCTCGACGAGATAGTAACGAGACTATGATAGGACACTCACGTAAATAAACCTGTACAGACGAAAATATACATACAACATAACAACAAATAAAGAATTTACAAGTACTATTGGAGGGAACATGCGATGGGGTACAAAAATACGGTAATTACAACAAGGAATGATAATAAAAACAATCAGTAAACCTTTAGCAAATGAAGCATATATACATAATGGGTAAAAACTACACGACATCACCCTTCATGCTTTCACTCTCAACCTCACCATTAAATGATAAATATAGCACGACATCACCCTTTGTGTTTTTACTCTCAATTTCATCATGAAACAATAGATACGACACGACATCACCCTTCATGCTTTCACTCTCAACCTCACCATTAAATGATAAATATAGCACGACATCACCCTTTGTGTTTTTACTCTCAATTTCATCATGAAACAATAGATACGACACGACATCACCCTTCGTGCATTAACTCTCAAATACGACATGACATCACCCTTCGTGCATTAACTCTAAAATACGGCGCAACATCACCCTTCATGCATTAGCACTCTCCCTTACTATGTTACAATGAACATATAACAATAAGGAGATAGAATAAGCAAGAACAAACTTTACATCAACAATGGTTCTACAATACCAACCTCAACTTCAGAAATAATACTCAATTATCACAGATAGCCCATAAATGCGGAAAGAACGATCATCAACAATAACAACAACCCAATATAATACCATAAGTGGGGTCTGGGGAGGGTAGTGTGTACGCAGACCTTACCCCTACCCTAGGGTAGGGAGGGTATTTCCAATAGACCCTCCGCATCCTTCCCTCCAAGAACTCCCCACCTTGCTCTTGGGGTGACTCGAACTCACAACCTCTTGGTTGGAAGTGGAGGGTGCTTACCATCAGAGCAACCCACCCTGTTAAGCATGGATATCATGATAAAAAAAGTAATAAATTACAAGAAACAAGTCCCACTCGCATGCTTTAACCCAACAACAACTTATAAGTGCTCGCCACCTCACATATACGTTGTACCCAACATCTAAACAAGTAGCAAATAGGCAAACAAGTCCTAATCTCTCAAGTCGAGGTTAACCACGACACTTATCTCGCTCCAAAATCAACTCAAAGCTCAACCACAGCTTTGCCTTTCAAACAAGCCTCCGAACAACCAAAATCTAGCAAACTATCAACCAAATGATTCAAAATAAGCCTTAGGAACTACTCACAATTGCAAAAGATTCAATTTAGGTTATTATTAAAAAAGTCAACAAAAGTCACCTCCCGAGCCCGCTTGGCCCAAATCCGAAATTTGGACCAAAATTCGATTACCTATTCACCCCCGAGCCCGATTATGTAATTTGTTTCAAAATCCGACCTTAATTTGATGTATAAATTTTAATTTTACAAAAATCCCTAATTCTATTCAAACCCCCAATTTCTACCATGGAAATCCTAGACTTTAGGTTGAAATCTTATGAAATGCAATAGAAAATTAAAAGAAAATAGGTTAGAATCACTTACCAATGAATTGGGGAAGAAGGGCTCTTGGAAAAATCGTGTCTAGGGTTTCTAAGTTTGAAAATTTGAGAAAATGAACTAAAATCCCATTTTTCCCATCTTAAGTTCACGCACATATGTCGCAATTACAACCTGGAGTTCGCAATTCGCAATTGTGAAGGTCCCCCATCTCTAATATCATCGCATTTGCGATGGCTTGTTCGCAAATGTGAACATGAACTTCTCGAAATTGCGATCATTTTGATCACAAATGCGAACATTGCCTCCCGAACTCACTTTGCAAAAGAGAAGAATTTGTCCGCAAATGCGAAAATGTGGTGCCCAGTTATTCTTCGCAATTGCGAGGAAATAGCTCGTAATGACAAACCTGACAGTGAGCCTGCCTCAGCGCAAATGCGAAGCATGTCCTCGCAATTGCGAGGTCTGAGGCCTACACCAGAACTGAAGAACACCAGCTATGCTTCTAAGTCCAAACTCACTCAGTGGCCTATCCGAAACTCACCCGAGCCCTCAGGACTCCAAACCAAACATGCACACACATCCAAAATTATCATATGAACTTGCTCGCGTGATCAAATCTTCAAAATAACACTTAGAAATGTGAATCGAACATTTTCAAGAAAACTTTAGAACTTTTATTTTAATAATCGGACGTCCGAATCACGTCAAACTAACTCCATTTTCCAACGAATTTAACAGACAAGTCATAAATATAGTAATGGACCTTCTAAAACCAAAATACGGCCCCGGTATCAACAAAGTGAAACATTGGTCAAATCTTTAAACTCTTTAAACCTTTAAACTTCAAAATTTCGACAAAAAGCGATAACTCGAGCTAGGGACCTCCAAATTCGATTCCGGCATATGCCCAAGTCCCAAATCACGATACGGATCCACCGGGACCGTCAAAATATGGATTCGGGTCTGTTTGCTCAAAGCATTGACCGAAGTCAACTCAAATAGATTTTTAAGGCAAAATTTCATATTTTATCAATTTTTAACATAAACCTTCCGAAAAAATACCCAGACTGTGCATGCAAATCAAGGAATCCTTAAAGAAGCTATTGAAGGCTTCGAAACACAGAACTAATGTTTAAAACTCTAGATGACCTATAGGGTCATCATAGGTTGCACGAAGAATTCCTTTCAAATTTATTTATTAGGTTTAAATAAAAATTGATAGTTATTGTGAGCATCAAGCAATAACCATTTAACATTAAATCGTTTTGACATAGTAAATAAAGTATTGTAAATAGTAAATAACGTACCTAACTTAAATTCGTCATCTCTTTTGTGTTAAACTTTTTTACTATCAGATAATATAAGAGCCAACTAAATGTATTACGTATCTACTATAAGTAAAGAATGAATATCAAAAGAAGCTTGCGAATGACATACTGCAACTAATTACACCACACTAACAGCATTTTTCTAATTGAAAGTGTTTGTAACTTAAATCCTTTCATTGTGGGTTTAAAAGACTGAAGTAAAATATAATAAGAGTGTAAGGTACGTAATTTAACTAATTATATTAGCTTCCAGATTATCATTAAAATTTGAGAATTCCACTAAACCCTTTTAATATAATACCCAATCTATCTTTGGAATGAGACCGACTATCCCCTTGAGCACTGGCGTGGCTAGAAATCTCGTCAAGAATGTTCAAATTTTAAAGAAGTCAATAATTTTTTTTTCAACAAATAGGTGCACCACAATTTTTAAATTCAACTACGCTATATTTAGCTAAAAATAAAAATAAAAGTATGCATAAACCAAAGGACATAGAGTCGAGGGGGTTTGTAGTATGTAGAAAGCTTTTGTTAGAATTTATTTTTTGTAGACCTAGACTTTTAAATTATAATTTTTTAAGAAATAACTTAACATTCAAAAACTACTTTTAAGATTAGATGTTTATTTTTACACATACGTTGGTCTCTGTTTAGTTTTGGCAAATAAAATGGGCAAATAGTTAGACAGGAATTTAAACCCGTAAAAAATACCTTACTTTGAACACCCTGGACTACTGGGATATCTCACTCAACTATATTAAGGGTGTTCAAAATACAATATATAACCATTTAAAATAATATCTAATCTATGTATACGATATAATTTTTAGCAAAGAATGTTTACTTGATCACCTTTGGCATAGTGTGGCCATGCACGCCACTGCCCTTGAGTAGTATTTTTCGGTGAGTTTTACAATTTTAAATTAACTTTCTTTTTTGTCCTTTTTGTTTAGAGGTTCAATCAACAAAGCATCTGAACTACTACTTGACAAAATGCGTACAAAATAGCCCGAGTGCAGAACCATGTATATCGGACGAATGAATTGAACAACAAGGTTTTCCATGCAATGTTGGAAGAAATTGGGCAACATTTTCAGAAATTAATATTGCATGATTACATTTCATGCAAGTAGCTTTGACAACGCATTACATTCTATGACAAAAATGATTTTCCCCGCTATGAATCATACTTAACACCCAACCCTCATTGAATTCCTGTCCTCTTCCCGGCACTCCGACTAA